TATATACGAGTCCAGTCTTACTTATCCCTATTTTTTTCCATTTCCCGTCTACGCCCAGCCTGTTGAGCTGTGCGTCGTGTCGTCCACGCGCTACGCGGGGGTGGTGCGACGCGGCCTGGCCGAGGCCGAGCACACTGCCGGCATTGTGTGGGGCGCGGGGATTAAACCGAACAAACGGGCTTATGTGACGCGCCCCGCGACCGCTCGGCGGGGCGGGCCCGGGCGGGCCGCCTGGAGCCTTTGGAGCGTGCCGGCGTGCGCCTCGGGCGGACCCCGCCGAGCGCGGCGCGAGCGCCTGCAGGACGCACGACCCGCGCCTCCTGCTGGACCGATACTGTTCTTGTTCTGAGTACGATTATCAGCATGAATGTTGTCAACGACGCCCCGCCCACAGTAAAGAGCCAGGAGTGGCCCCGTTCCTGCTCCACTCCCGCTGTCACATTCACCGATTTCCACAGAAAGAGGGTCTCTCCGGGCAGGTTGGTGGCGGTGGTGGTGTTTGCGGACAGTGTATGGCGGCGGGGAGCGCGGCGCGCGCGCGCCCGGTCCGCCGGACCATGGTGGAGCGCGCGCAGGTGTGCCGTGCGGCTGCGTGCGAGAGGCGAGGCGTGCGCCGTCGTCAGGCAGGCAGGCGCCGGACGCAGCCCGGAGGCGACGGACAGACAGGCCGCCTCGTGGCCCCGGGCGGGCAGGCAACCGGCAGACACGCGTGACGAGCGGCACGGTATCACGCAGTAGTCAGGCGTCCGCGGTCCACCCTGTGCAGAAAGGCGGGCTCTCTTGTGGCTGGAGCAAACACCAGGAAATACGCTCTTATAACGGGGTGACCCCCCTGAGTGGTAGGAACCGTAACCGTATCACTCAGTATCAGTACCAGTATTCCTTTACCCCCCTGCTGCAACTGGTGGCGGGGGGTGGGGCCGCTGGAACTGCACCGGGAACGACCCCCCCGCTCAACCTGCGGCCCCTTCCTCACCTCTTGATTAAATCGCGCCCCTCTTGCGGGGTGCTACTTCCTGCGCGAAGCGGTGCTGGCGGCGGCCGGATGTGGCTGCGAATCCTTGCCTCGGTGTTCACTGCTCCGAGTAAACACTGTGGCGCTGCTGCCTACTTGGGCCCGCCTGCCCCCGCCACGCCCCGCC